TTCCATAAAAAACCTCTTGATATGCAGAAATCGCAGATGCACCGATGGGATTATTCAAAGTCCACTGAGAGCTGAAGACAGACAGATACCCAAACAGACCGTAGAAGACTTCCCTGATGGTCCCGTGTTAAGCACATAGTAGATCAGGTTGGAGACGTGTCTTCTGGATTATCTACTCCACTATATTCACTGGCGTTTGGCTTTGTTCTGTTATGTAGGCTGCGACTGATAGCAGACTGATAATATATTCCAAATCAAACACAACTAGATAATAGGATTAGTAATTCATTAAGATCGTGTCGATGTCACTCAGATCCAGTGTTTTTGAGACGTCGAAGTCTATAACGTCACAGGAACTTTTTCTTGTTAAATCCCAATTTTACAACAGTCATAAGACAAACTCAAAGGCACCAGATGTGCAGAGAGCTCAGCAGAGGGCCCCTAACGTTTTGTCACACAGCGTATATGACACACTAAAATCAATAACTCCATTCTGCTCGCACATATTTATCCCGAGACGAGGACAGTGGCCCACTTAAACAACCTTGTCAAGCTACCCCTGCAGTCCAGCCTGAGCGTGTGCTTAACTGTCCTGGAAGTGTCTAAGAAGAAGGGACAGAGTCGGCCGGGTGGAGGAATGTGTGCTGGTTAAAGTGGTATCCTCAGTGATTCTGCATATGGTCAGACTGGGTAAAGCTTTATGGTTTCCTAATGCGTCTGTAGTGCATCGCAGTGCAAAACTTTAGTATTAAAAGCATATTCACACATACCTACACACACAGAGACACACTTTTTCTCCTGGGACCCAGCCTGTAGCGCCTTCCCTTTCTTCTGTCTCTCCCTTTTTTTTTTTCTCCGACACACACTCACACCGGGTGACACACACAGACAAGGTCACATTTCGTCTTTCGCGTATTTCTTCCCTTCCATATAACTTTTTCGTCTTTTTTATTGTCCTTTCAGAAATAACAGCACAGACACCAATTTGTCTCACAACTCGCACGCACACACAAGCGCGCACGCTCCTACAGAGGCTACAGTTGCATCACAAGTGAATTACCATGCCGTTCCGCGTTATTAAACATGACACTCGGCCCAGATAATGGAGCCTTTCTTCATCTCAATTTGGAAGGCTAATCTTATTGCTTTGATTAGCAGCAGCTTCATTTACATATCAAGGCCTCCCTACTTTTAATTCCTCCATCTCAAATCCCCTCTTTATATCTGTAGATAAAAGGAATCTATCTATGTGTATCTCTCTATTGAATCTTTCCCCCCTCTTGTTCTTCTTTATCCACTTGTTCATTTGTTCAGACTCCTTTTTTCTTTTTGTTTTACCTTTTTATATTCATTATCGGGTCTTATTCCTCTACATTTCTCTTCATGTGTATAAAAACACCATAAAACAAGAGGAGAGTAAAGCATGACCTCACTGGCGTGTGATTGGATACGCCGGTATGGCCGGTGGTGCCGGTTACTTATTGTCCAGCTGCACTCACTCTTGTGAGAACGGCTGAAACGGCTTCAGGAAAAGTTTAAATTCACACCCAGCAATTAAAGTGTAACCACAAGGTCAGAGCCGCGGTAGTAAACCCAACAGAAGAGTGCACTTTGCTCGCTCTCAACATAGAACTGAGATTAAGACCAACCTTGAAACAATTAAACTAATTCAATTGCTTTGAATTGGGGATAAACTACATTAAATCAGAAGAAGCAAGCTCACAACAAATGCTTTTCCTCACAAGATTACCGTTCCTATCAACTTTTGTGCAGGTCTCTCAGTCTTGGGTGAGATGACTCATCACATTAGGTTAAAGTATGATCTAAATCTAATTCTACATCCATTGCATTAATTCGATATGCATGCCACAAAAAGATCTGTCTTTATTGGAAGCTGCATGAACTGAGCTAACGTGAACTGACACTCCAGTGTGCCACAGGACAAAATAAAGACACTTTTAGGGTTTATGGAGCTATCATTCTCTAAAAAGAAGGCAGCATTACCGTCCCAGGGTTGTACTCTTCTGCCGAACAGGTTTCATACACATCAATATTTTTTCATGCATATTTTAGCTCCAAATTTGGCTCAACATTCAATGACAAGAGAGCCATGACTGATGAGTTGCTCATAATTATGGATGGAAAGCAAATAAACTGTTCTTCTGCTGGTAAAACAAGTACAGTTATCAACATTTATCTTCATTTTGTGAAGGCAACTATCCTTATTCTTTGTATTATCTTCCTTTGTTGACTGTGGCGGCCTACAACAGCATGGTGAAAAATGAATGTGTATTTCCTTTCTCTAGTCAGACTAATGCATCTGGGTTTTTTTCTGATATCACTTTATGTACTGGGTGAAGGCTTTGAAAGAATGAAATAAAAGGTACTTTTAGTACAAAAAGTCCTGACTGTGCTATTAACACAGCTACAAATAAAATGTGTCAGATCAAAAGCCAAAAACAGCTACTGAGAGCAAAGATGGGAATAAATTGGTGTTGCTGTTCGAAAAATGACGTTAATGGGTCATGGGTTGATGGGTTAACAAGCATGGGACACAGGGATGGCAGACCTATTACGTAATGAAATAAACTATCATGTTTTCTTTTTCAAAAACTAAATTTAATCTAAGCAGCAGAGCAGCTGATTCAGACTTTTATTTGTATATATATATATATATGTGTGTGTGTCTTTGATTTGCACTTGGACTTTAGCTCTTTCATATTATTTCCAGCGATAATGTTTTTAGAATTTAGAGTATAAGAACATGCAATATCAGGATGTAAACATTGGAGTTGTGTCAAGAATTTCTTATTCATGTTAACAAATGTGTCAAACGTTGCAGTTGATCTGCAGCTTATTCTAAGACTATGTGGTGCAAAATCCACAGTAATATTAGTTAATTTTCAAACAAAGTCTGCAAAGCTGTCAAATATAGATAGCTAAAGGAAAATGTATAATATTTTAACTAGTGGAGAAATGGAAATGATCCAGTGTAAAACCTTAGACCTGTAAACCTGTAACTAAGTGTTTTTTTTTAAGTTCAGAAAACAGTGATACAAACACAAATGGAGTATATTAGAGATGGAGTATAAAGTCAGAGGGAAGTATTACAAAATGTTTGAAGTATGCATCGTGTAGTGCTTTATGGAAGGTCAGTTTTTAGGGCAGTGAGGCGTCATCTGATGGTGGGGGGAATGATAAAGACTCTGCAGTTGGAGGGTGATGACCTGCTCAGTCTGAACTTTTCTTTATGGAACTCCATTTGTGCATTAAACCACAATCTCTGAATGAATGTATGCAGGAGGGGGGACGGACGGCGTGGTGTAGTAAAAGCAGAGAACGAGATAGTGGGTGTCTTTTATGGGATATTGGCCAATCTGATGTTTTATGTATCCATAAAGAGCTCCAAGGCCATGTTGACGCGCTGTACTTTAGAAACACTATCAACACTAAAAAACGGTGGCTTTGTGTGATATCAAAGTTAAGTGTGGCATCAAAAGCTTTTACCTATTTACAGATTGTCAGAAGTGAAAGCCGGAGGTGCTTCAGTCACGCAGGGACTTATTATTATTGGACAATTTTCAGTCACCATGTGCGCACACATCGTTTTATTGTAATGGTTGCAAACATCATGGCCATTTTGAAAGATGTTGAGTGTAGTTTTCTGCATTCATTCAGTTTCTCCCACAGAAAGCAACATGACTGTGGAGCCTCTCTACTCATCTTGATGGAATAATATATAATATATAAGAACACATGCATTCTTTATAACGATGATAATTACCATACATTCCTGATACATGTGTAATAAGATTAATCCTGCAGTGGTGCATCAATATATACAAATGTCCTATGTGTGGAGAGAAAATAACAACTGTCTGGGCCCAAGTCTTTGTAATATTTCTATGACAAAAAGCCCCAGATGCTATCTGTGCAATATAATCTCATTGTTCTTCCATTGTAAAAAAAAAAAACTGAAATATATGATCCCACTTTAACAAATAATGATGTATGAAAATGGAACAAATCATCAGGCGCTCTCCCTGGTGGATACTTCTGTTCCTATTCAGGGTGTTTTTCAATGTTTCCTATTCAAATGGATTTCATCCTGACTTTTTTCAGGAGTTTTTGACAAACTACCTGAGGATCACTGTTCGTAACCCTGCTAGAAACTGTGGTTCAACCTCAAATTCAAAGGATACCATGCGTAATAAGTGGAGAGCAACAGTCACTATAGAATTTCTTTTTAAATACAGAACGAGAATGTCTAAAAAAGAACAAAAAAATGGCTTTTTAATCTGTTTATTGGATTTCAGGTAATAAAACCCCCATTCAGCTTCATCCCCTAAATGTGTTTTTGAATCGATATCATCTAAGCACAAGAATTTGCTCAACATGAAGTGATAATATTACATTTTATGCTTATAGATTAGTGATACATCACATCATAACTGATCTGCTGCATTAATGTAAATAAAAGCTAAATAGATATACAAAAAATACATTATAAAAGACAAAATAAATAGCCCACTTCATAATCAAGCTGTGTTGTAAGTGCCTTCCCTCACCTTTTTACACTAAAAGATAATTATGGCCCCCCCTTACACAAATTTATGCCCACTAAAATGACTCCAATCATATTCCTCCGGAGCTTTTTTAGTGCCAGACTATGAATAAAGACCTTGTAAAAGTCGACTGGATGATTGTGTTATTGCACCACTTCCATGTGGGGGATAACCAACTGATCCGATAGGTGGGTACACATTAAAAGAAAGGCCTTTATTTGATTTCTGAATTAGCAGAGCTGTAAAAATGGAGGTTATGACCACAAATCCATAGCAGGAGAGTTCACTGGCCTTTGGGTTAACTAGTCGCTCACCCTCATTTGCAGGCAGCATTTTACTGGCCGCGTATGAACTCTATAAACTCCTTTTTATGTAGTTTATTGACCTCTCCCTTAAAGCTTGTTGTCCTCATCATCCTCAGTTGTTATGGCTCTCATGTGTCATCACATGCAAATGAGGGAGGGAGAGAGAGGTGTACCCTATAAAAGAAGAGCAGCGGTCCGGCACCCGGCACCTCGCTCTTCCTCAGCCGGCCTCCTCTTCTCCAGTCTCGCTCCGGAAGACTACAACACCAACAAAATGGCTTTTGCTGGAAAATGGGAAACTGAGACCCAGGAGGGATACGTTGACTTCTGCAAACTCATCGGTGGGAGGGAGCCGACACTGTACTTAAACCTTTTTTTCTGAAAACGCTAGCGCTTCTTTAACCACTTCTTCTCGCTCCAGGCATCCCTGACGACATCATCGAGAAGGGTCGCGACTACAAGATAGTCTCGGAGGTCAGCCAGGATGGGAATGACTTTACCTGGACCCAGATCTACCCTGCCAACCATAAGGTCACAAACCAGTTCACCATCGGCAAAGAGTGTGAGATGCAGACCATCGGAGGAAAGAAATTCAAGGTAAGATCGGAAGACTGACTTTAACTGAGCAAAGAAGCTTAATGGATCCATGTTCAAAAACAGTAATGAGATGAATGTGATTGTGACAGGCCACAGTAAACATGGAAGGAGGAAAGCTGACAGTGAACTTCCCCAACTACCAACAAGTCAATGAGATCTGTGGAGGCAAGCTGGTTGAGGTAAACAAGTTGCTCTCAATAGCTGCAGATTTTCAGGAATTAAATCGAATGTATTAAAACAATCATGACTGGCTGCTGACTTTGTTAGATTATAAAATGCCTTTTATGTGCTGAAGTAGAATTAAGTTGCATCTTAGTGAGTTTTATTCCGTCAAGATTTCATTATATCAAATACAAAAATGAACAAATGTATATTTTCTTAAAAAATACCTACACAAGACATTTTTCTCAGTTATTTTCTAAGTATACAAAGAAGTTGGAAGACTTGCCTTCAATGTTAATGATCTATATCTACTTTTGTCTTTCTGATAGACGTCCAAATCTGGCTCAGTGGTGCTGAAGAGAACCAGCAAAAAGATCTAAAAAGTGACCTTTCACCTCTTGTACAGTTATAAATGAGAGCTCCCACTTAGAGCCAAGGCCTTTAATAAACTAAAAGTCGTGCCAACATGACCCTGTGCATTGGTTTGTCTTCTTTATTGTGTGTTTGGTCAAATCCATCATTTCTCAACACAAGCCACCTCAAGCTTGAGTTTCTTTTCACATAAAAAAATTGCCTCAAATTTGATGGAAAGCAAATAAATGTCATCCACAACTGAACATCACCCAAATATATAGAATATCCTTAGTGTCTATGCTCGGACACACACAGAAGCAGTTGAAGAAATGTCTAGAATTTAGTGTTAATTTGATATTTTTATTATCATCATTTTTGTAGCATTGTAAGCTAAAAAAATTCAGGCAAAGCAAATGAAATAGAAAAATTGCCTCTTGGAGTGTTGGTGAGCTGAAGGAAATTCATTGTCACATGAGGTAGATAGAAGCATTATTGTAGCAATATATTCCACACACCTGACCAGGAGGGACTTTATGATGGACAGACGATCCATAACTTTGTTTGCAACCTTGATCCACAAAAGGAAAGTCATTGTTATGGACAGACTTTTATAGTATGTCCACATTCATTTTTGCCAGATGATTAACCCAAATTACTTTAGTGACATTCCAACCTTTCATCGTCGGGTTAAACTTTTCAGTACAGAGCAGAAAACGTTTGAATAAGCAGGCACTTTGAAACCGAGCTAACTGGAAAACGCAGTCCATCCATTCCTTATTCCGGCTTTCGTATAACTCATGGTCACAGGGGACTAAACGTTCCTTGAAGCCTGTCCCTTTTAGTGACAAGAAAGCCATCCTAGCTTATTTTTGGGCAGTGGGATAAAAGCAGAGCCCCCAGAGGAAAGCCACTTTGGAACAGGACATGCAAACTCTGAACAGACAGAAAATCCACATGTGCAAGTTAGCGTTCCCCAAAAAGACACATCAGATGGCTTCAAAGGACTCTCAAAATGATCATTTTGAACTTATTTTCATCATTTGAATCCATTAATACAGACACAAATCAGTTTAAAAATACCTGCTGACTGGACTGATCCTCAAATGCCAACATATAGGCTATATTTCAGGATTATTCATGATTCAACAAGACTGCATTGATGTGTGGCGTGGTCAAAAAATCTTTGCGCCCCAACCTCCCGTCACCACACCTGACATTTTTCCCCCCCAAACCACAACCCCTGGCTGTTTTAAGTCTTCCAAATTAATGGGAGGAGCTTGGAAAATTACTAAATAAATCCCAACAATTAAACTAAAAATGGTTCTTTGCAAATTAAACATTTCAACTACTTAAAATTAAACAAAACATGTGAATGACGAGAAGTTAACTGCATGAGATTTTTTGCACACATTCATGGCCCCACCAGATGAGTTGCAATGAGTTTGACAGTTTACTAATGAAAAATGATATTTTATATTATTCACATTATCTTTTATTTTTGAAGCAAATAAGCTTCCTGCGTCAAAAAATTAAATGCAACACACCCAGCCCCTTTTTGTTTGTGTAATCTACCTAAAGAATCTGTTTTAGTGTTGAAGCTACTGTTAGACCGGTCTGCTCTTCTGCCCGTATGCAGCTGCGTTTGTGGAAATAAGCCCGAGGCATTTCTCTGAAAAGCTACAAGTTTACGTCAAATTTTTGTTTTGCCTCTGAATGGAAATCCAGCCGCTGTCATCTCACTGGTCTCCCCTCCAGGCTTTTCCCTCTCCACATGTATGTATTTCCCTCTCCGTTTCCCCCAGATTCTGGTCCTGTGCTGAGCCTTCCTTCCCTGTTTCACACCTGTATCACCACTCTCCACTCTCATCTCCCTTCATGTCCTCATTTTCCTTCTCTCTCTTCATCTGTTTTTTTTCTTTCTGTGGCTTCCAGCCAAGCAAACAATCAGTTAATTAACCAGCTCAGTCCCAGGATCATTGTAGCAGCTCTCAGAGGAGTGCTGTGTAGGCCCTCACACCTCTAAATTTACAGCTTCATTAAGTGGACTGGTGTAAGGTAAAAAATCTTTTGAATAAAAATTGCCAGGCTGAAGGCTGAGTGCACGCGTGTGTGTGTGTCTGTGTGTGTGTGAGTGTGTGTGTGTGTGTGTTGGCCTTGACTCTGGAGCTGGTGACTCAATTGCTCCCTAATGAAAACAAAACCTCTGTTTTTTGCCTCTGAGGTGGCGATTGTTTTGGTGTAATAATGAGCCGTCCTCTCTTGCCAGCACAGATGCAATCAAGTTCTCACACTCCTGCAAAATTAGGGTTGGAAGGCAACAGGCAAGGTGTTATTTGAGCATGTTTATCTTGTTCAGCGCTGGTGCAATCACTCTGCAATATCACTTTTTTTGTTCTCAAAGACAAACAGGCCTAATTGGCTATTTCCAGGGCTGCTGTCTCTGATTGGCCATTTTGCCTCTTTCTGATTGGCCTCTATCCCTGGAATCAGAAGTAGGGGACAAGATGGGTTATCAGCATCTTCACATTGTGTTCTGTTGCTGTTTGGGTGATGTGAAACATCAAGCACTGCTGGAGCTGAGCCACCAGATCAGCTTTTCCCTGAAACTGAAACCCAACTGCCTCTTTTTCATGCACATTTATGGAAACTTCTGATTCGGGATACAATTGCAATCAGTGTTTATTTTTTTGTCCATTTGAACATTTCACTGCTTCAGTCTTAGATAAAATAAATATTTTCAAATATTTACACACGTTTCTATTTTTATTTTTTCATACTTTTCTGTCTGATTTGGGTCCAGTTTACAGTGAGAGATGCAAACTGAAGCAATGGAAATTTTGTCAAAGATACTAGATGATTGTACCCAGCCTTGACTTTGCTTTTCTTTGCAGTTATTTCTATAGTTTATGCTTAGAACAAGTGACCTCACAACTTGCTTTTTCTTATGTAAAATGACTCATTGTTCTCTAAAGAGATTCTGCACTTGTGAAGTCTCTGTTTGGATCTGCAAGAGGCATCAACTTAAACTGGAAGAAAAAGATACATTTTTCCTGTTTCAGATTTACTCAAAGTAGCTAAAATATCAAGATTTTCTACACAATGAATAGCATGATGGAGACAGACACACGCAAAACATGACAACATGCATAAAATGTCCCCAAAAAACAGAAAAAGCCCTGGGAAAAGGGAGGAAAGCGTTTCTGAAACCTATTGCATTTTTGTTGTCATCTGCTTAGTATTATTGTGTTTTGCACCTCACGGCCTCTTTAGGATTTAATAGAAATGAGTGATAGTGTGAGACAATGAAAACACAATAGCGATGACCAGAGAAAGAAGGAGCTCTGTAGGATAATGAGGGGGTGACATTCCGCAGCGTGATTGGCACCTTAGGCATTAATAATAGGAAATTACCTGAAATAACCATGGTAACACAGGCAATTTGCTTAAACCTCCTTTTTTTTCCTGTTGAAAAGCAGTTGGTCTTATCAAATGCAGAAAAACCGAGAAGTTCAGCAACGGATTGATTTAGTGCTACATTAACGGCCACTGAACCCCCCCCCCCCCAGTCTGGATGGACTGTGAAATGACGGATTACAGTCTGGAGTACATGCAGAAAAGGTTTTCACAAGGGTCAGATTGCTTCACATCAAGTGCCCGTCTGATTGTCTGAAAGACTCCAAACTCCACAGCTCTTTGACTTGTGTGGTGGAGGGCTCAGTGGAGTGGCACTTTTGGAAAGTTTGGGAATGTTTTAATGTGCGGCTTTCTGATAAAAAAACAAAAGAAAAATGTTTGACTTGTTGAGCAGATAAAAAGAAAGCACCTGAGACACATGCAAACGTTGTTTTAAAGTGTCCCCTCTTCAGTTGGAGATGTGTGAACAGAGAGAATACTTCTGGATTTGTTTCTTAATTCTTGCAACTGTGAATCACAATGTTTCCGCCAGACTAAGAGGCTCCGGAGTTAGGACACATCTCTCTTATTGCTTCTCCTTTGGAAGGTTTGCAGCACTTTGATCCATTTTTAAACACGCTTTTTTCAAATGAAGACATGGCCTGGCTTGCCTTTACGTTGCAAACTGTACTTCTGTGTGCCTGAGTTTCAGAGTTTTCCGCTTAATCTCAAATTCCTCCACCTCTGATTTCTTCTTTTCCTGTGAAAATGTGTCTCATTTGTCAGATTTCCGTGTTGTTCTGTCCAGTCTTGCTCCAGTCTTTTCTCCCAAAGCTGCGTGACAGGCCGAGTGCAGGACTGCAGGTCCACAGATGCATGCAGAGATTTTTCTTTGTGGAGGAAAGAAGGCAGAGGTCCACGCATGACTGAAGGTGTGTGTGTCCGGGAACAGCAGATAGAGCCCTGAAGTGCACGCTTCTGCCAGGAAGCTATGCTTAAGTTGACGGTACATATCTTTATCCCACACACTGCCAATCCTCTGTTCTTTACCAAAGTACTGGATTTCTGTGATAAAAGTATATGAGGTTGACTAAATGCGAGATCACTTCAGATAAAGGCCTCCTGGGTTGAATCCTGGGTTGAATCTTGGCCGGTATCTTCCTTTGAGGAGTTTGAATGCTCTTTGTGTGGTTTCTCTGATTCAAATGTGTGAGCTCAAATCTCACTTTGGCTCTTAGAAAATGGCCGTTAACACCAGAGGATGAATAATTAGTTCACAGATCCAAAGCAGACACACCTGTAAGGACGTTTGCTTCCCCGGTTGTGAACCAAGCAAGGTCTCTGGTAGCTAACAAAGTTTTTGGAACAAATTGGCCAACGATAGGTCCTAAACCGCTTGTCAAGCACAATTCCAGATTATGAATTTTAGCTCATCTTAGCCGAAAATGTTAACTAACTGTCAAAGATAATGCTCCTAAACATTCTTTACAATATCACACTGTCTTTTCCATTTGTAATTGGTAAGAAATAGGACTTATTGTAATAAATTCACTCAAAATCCATAGTTTTTAAGACGTTAGTAAATACTTTTGATGTGTGGTTACTTTTTCTTTTTGTTTTTAGTGTTTCTTCCTAAATCTGTGCATGCGTTCTATCAGAAGTTGTGGTGTCTGTCAAATTAGAGGCGAACAGCCTAAATTCATTTTTATTTATCAATTGGCTA